AGCCGCAAGCTGGTACAGAGCCGGATTTTCCATTTTGGCTCTTAAAAAATTTATAATAAATAAAATACGGACTCGCAGCTAAGCAACCCGACAGAGGTCGGTAGTGTTACTCCTGTCGACCCTTAACAAATTATTTATGTTTTGTTAACTTAAACGCTTAATAACTGTAACAGAAATAATTTGTTAAAGCAGAGAATAGTTGGTATATGAAAAGTACATGTAAATATGAACTTTTCATATACCAACTATTCTCTGCTTTAACAATTTTATTTCTGTTTCATTAACTTCAACACTTAATATCTGTAACATAAATAATTTGTTAAAGCAGAGAATAGTTGATATATGAAAAGTAAATATTTTTGTGTACTTTTCATATACCAACTATTCTTTGCTTTAACAAATTATTTATGTTTCGTTAACCTAAACGCTTAATATTTGTAACAGAAATAATTTGTTAAAGCAGAGAATAGTTGGTATATGAAAAGTACATGTAAATATGAACTTTTCATATACCAACTATTCTCTGCTTTAACAATTTTATTTCTGTTTCGTTAACTTCAACACTTAATATCTGTAACATAAATAATTTGTTAAAGCAGAGAATAGTTGATATATGAAAAGTAAATATTTATGTGTATTTTTCATATACCAACTATTCTCTGCTTTAACAAATTATTTTTGTTTCGTTAACTTAAACGCTTAATATTTGTAACAGAAATAATTTGTTAAAGCAGAGAATAGTTGGTGTATGAAAAGTACATGTAAATATGAACTTTTCATATACCAACAATTCTCTGCTTTAATAATTTTATTTCTGTTTCGTTAACTTCAACGCTTAGTTACACTTCTGACTTACCAACCAAACAGTTGTCACGTGATCTGCTGCATGCGCGTGCGGCCGCAGGGCATGGTCGTAGTCGCTGCATCTCGTCGGTATGACAGGAATCATGCGAGCAATTGATAATGAGAATGAACCACAGCGGCTATTTTGTATAGATGGGTTTGCAGGTAGTGGGAAAACCTATTTGTTTAACACATTTTTGAGTGTCATCCGAGGAAGAAACGAGAAAGTTCTACCATGTGCATCAACTGGTATTGCTGCCACACTTCTAAAAGGAGGAAGAACATATCACTCCTTGTTCAAACTTTCCATTCCAATTGATGATAGTGCTAAATCTAATATCAGAGGAAACTCGAAAGCTGCACGAGAACTGATCTCTGCTAAATTATTATATGGGATGAAGTGAACATGACTATAGGACATGCCTTAACAGCAGTGGATAAACTCCTCAAGGATTTGATGAAAAATTCCCAACCATTTGGAGGAAAAGTTATTTTATTTGCAGGAGATTTTAGGCAAAATCTACCAATAGTGCCACATGCACATAAAGCAGCAATAATTGAGTCGACTGTTAAATATAACCCGATATGGAGGAATGTAAATCAAGTTAAACTCCAGCAAAATATGAGAACTGGAGAGGAAAAAAAATTTGCAAGTTGGCTGTTGGAACTCGGAGAAGGTAAATTGTCTAATACGGATGGATTACATCCTGAGACAATTGAAATTCCTCAGGATTTTATATCAAAAGGATCTCTTATAACTGAGATTTTTGGTGATAAAATTAACATGGAACAAATCAAAGTTAACTATGATCGAGTAATCCTTTGTCCTAAGAATGAGGACACATTCAAAATTAATGACGAAATCCTTTGTCTAATGGAAGGAGAAACAAAGGAATATCTCTCAATTGACTCTATTGTGAGTGATGATCCACAGGAGCAATTAAATTTCCCGACTGAATTTTTGAACTCTTTGACACCCTCTGGAATGCCAGTTCATCGACTAAAAATAAAAATCGGTGCTACAATTATCCTATTAAGGAATTTGAATACCAAGAAAGGGCTATGCAATGGAACAAGATTTATTGTTACTGATTTGAAACCTAATCTTATTTATGCGTAGGTTCTAACTGCCCCAGCTCGAAGTCAAATTGTCTTCTTACCAAGGATAGATTTCCTTTCAAATGACTCGGAACTCCCGTTTAAGCTCAAACAAAGACAGTTTCCTATTAGAATGGCATTTACTATGACAATCAATAAATCACAGGGACAAACTTTAGAAAAAGTTGGGATTTATCTGCCACAACCTGTATTTGCTCATGGACAACTCTATGTAGCATTCTCAAGAGCAACTAAAAGAAATAATGTCAAAATTAAGATCGATGAAAACAGCAATCAAGGACAACTTATTGAGGGAAATTCGAAATCTTTTACAAAAAATGTTGTATATCGAGAAATTTTGTAACAAAGCTGCTACTTATATCGAGGGTGGGGGCCGGGGGAGGTTTTTAGCCGGTGCAAGTCTGGCACAACCCTAGGGACCGGCCCTAGAGTATGCATTAGGCATTTTCCTCCTCCAACGAAAAAAAAAAAAAAAAGGCCCAATATCTCAAAATTTACGGATATTAAAAAATTCACGATGAAAAATTGAAACTTTTTAAAAATAAAAAAAAATGTATTTAAATTAAAAATTAGTATTAAACTGAGAGTAAAATAAAGGTTGAATCTAAAAAAAAACGAAGATGTAGATTACAGTTTAAGAAGAAAAAATAACAAATTTAGTGTTTCAAATTAATGGGTGAATTTAAAGCATATATAATTAATATACAGATAGATTTATACCCGCGCCAAGCGCGGGCCGAAAAGCTAGTTACTTATATAAAGTTGCACAATACTCGCGAACCGAATCTGTACGCAATATAGAGAAAAATCGTATATTTTTATAAGCAATTAATTATTTTATTTTCTTTTAGTTATTTATCTAGAAAGCGACGAGATGTAGACTATGTTCCAAAATTCACTACCAGTGCTAAAAATCTATAATAAAATGTAACAT